TTTCCGTTTAAAAAATACAGTATGTCAGGAAATCTGCGACGTCGCAAACCGAGTTATGTGATTGCAGACTTACACCGTCGATATATGTATTTCTTCAAAGTCAGACAGAACGGAGAAATCGCTCATTGAAAACGCGCGTATTAGGTCATCCACCGCGGGGGTGCATACCATGGTTCCCTCCACCCTGATTTCATGAACTGGTCTACATTTTTCAACTACGAACTACGATTTAGGGCTCATTCGTAGAAAAAACATACGTATATTCGGAAAAAAATGGTGTATACGTTGTTTCTAAACTGAGCTAGAGATTGTAGTTCCTAATTGCAAAATGTAGTCCGAAAGTGATACAATCATTGCACTGATTTTTGACGTATAACAGAGATAAATCAAGGTCGAGACAACAACGGCCTGCACTCCCGCGCACACTGGATCGAGTCAATAGGAGAGGTCGGACAACAATTGGAAACTTTAAACGCTCATAACTCCGTTCATACAAAACTTTGAGGTTCTAAAACTGGCTCCATTGGTTTCTTCGTGAAATTTACTTCCAGATGAACAACTAAAAATTTAAAATGTGACGAATTAAACATCAAAATTTGCAGTTTTAGTCAAAAAATGCATGTCCAACCTCTCTGATCCACTGTGCTGCGGATGACGACATACGTCATTCATGATAGGAGATGAGCGATTTCTTTGTTAATGTTCAGGGAAGAAACTTGGCAATTGAGCAGAATTTATTATTTTTTTCTAACCTATGATCTTTAACCATCAAAATGCAATTCCGGGAGTCCTAGTCCTATTGGCGCAATAATTGACCCATTCCATTTATCCGTCAACACCGCTCACCAGCCAAATTCGGCTACCCCCGCGGCCAATACCCAACGCCGCGGATCAATCGAATCACTCGGCATTAAAACGAAACAAAATCATTCACTAATGAGCCTCGTGCTCCGTAAGAACACGTGCATTCCAAGGCTCATTCGATAATGGACGTGCTCTGTTTTAACACGGACCGGTTCAATTATTCACGAAGTCCCGGCCGAGATCGTAATGAGCGCGTCGGCCGCGAACCGAACGGTCTCTCCGTGGGCCTTGATGCGTATTAAACACTCAAATCCTTATTCATCATTCAAGACCCGGGCCCTGCACTTCGGCCGGACAACCCCCCTCCCCCACCCCCTTTTCCCTTGGTCGGGTGCTTGGGAAACAAGTTGCGACACGATCGGTTTTTAAAAATCTCATCTTCGGATCAGCAGACCCGAACCCAGTGCTGCCGTTTACCGGAATTAATTCCGAACTTTTTAAATAATCTGATCTTTTCCCGGAACCTTCTAAATCTCCGGAATTTTCAGCTGTATGCAGAATTTTCTCAAAATTTGTAGTTTTTCGTCAGTTTGACCATTGATTTGATCAAATTCAGGGAATTTGTTTTTTATCAAATTTGATGCTCTTCGGAACCAAATCCGGGCGTATTTCGGAATTTTTCTCGGAACTATGGCAAATCGGAATGTGTTTCCGAGAATCGGTATCTTTGGATAAAATAAAACGGCAGCACTTAGACCCAGTATTGTCGGGAAGCGGATGGAAATTTCGTGCTTTTACGATGGATGCAGTTGTGTTGGAGTACACTGCCTTTTGTAGATTTGAACAAAACCAAATTGGACTGCATTAATGGTGACTGATGACCGAGGTATGAAGAAATCGATCCAGCAATCGACCCAAAACTAAAACTCGTCTGGCAAAGTGCTCACCCCAACATCCATTACTCATCATGAGACTAGAGCACCTTCATAAGGAGAGTATGGACAACTCGAAAATTTGCAGATTAGATTTGATCAGGTCATGTAGCTCTAAGGGCCGGCGTAGTGGCAGATCTTGTCAATGGATCACGTAGAATATTTAAAGTGCAGGGTGTCTAAAATATATTGCCGCTGGTAAGTTCTGGAAGACAGTGTATTTTATAAAAATAAATTTGGCAATGTCTCAAAGCTCATTCGGTGTCCTCCCTTGGAATAGCAATATGGGTGAGGGATCAGCGATGATTTTTGTAAGGGTATCGGGTGGCTCAGCAGGGCCGCGGAGGGGACAACGACATCGGTCGGTCAGTCGGGCGGTGAATGATGGAGTTTTGATGGGGCTAACATGCGAATACCCGCGTGGTTTTTGTCGTTATTGCGCTGCTGTCGAATCGACACGAGCATGGAATATCCATGAAGGTAAAAATTCATCAAATTCAAAACTATGAAATTTTACGGGAGGTATTCCCGAACCAGAAATTTCCCAGGTTGACAAAAATGACCAGCAACTGTTGGATTCATGTAAGCTATGATTTGGGGATGGCACAAGGGGACCTTTTGGTTTAGGCTGAGGGGCCTTTTTCACAGTAAAATTATTTATTGAAAGAGATATGGCAACGTCTGGAGGCTTATACGGCGTTTTCCCTTAGCACGGCAAAATAGCATCGCTCCATACTCCTTGTGTGTTGTTTGTATATCATGGACCACTAGACAAGGTACGAATTTCAGCATTCTGATACATGTTTCGCAACTGAAATTTCACGTAGAACACGATACGCACAACAAAAATTACCGAAATCAACTCCTTACGAAGAAATTAAATGATTCAATGAACAAACGACATAAATAACGGTGGTCCACGAAGGACTCTAGACTTATTCCATCATTTTCTCCCGTAGACTATAAGAACAAGCCGTTTCAACTTATAGAATCGTTACATTTTCCCGTCGTCTTCTTTCCTGTATAGCTTTGTTGATCAATTCCAAAAATATGCCCGCAGAGACTGACAAAAATTCTCATATTAATGAGCAATGTCAATTAGATGTCCAACTGGCTCTGATCTACAAGGAGAGCGTGCAGGCGCCAAGAAACAACTATTTCAACTCCCGCGTAATGTGGTGAAGTAACACAGTATTTGAAGGCGTTTTGAATGGACCACTAGACAAGGCACGAATTTCAGCATTCGAATACAAACCTCATAACCAAAATTTCATGTAAAACACGATGCGCACAACAAAAATTACCGAAATCAATTCCTCACGAAGACATTCAATAATTCTTGATGTGTGAAATCAAACTACTCGCTCATGAAAACTCAATGCTCTGTGTGATTCACTTCGCGCGCTAAACGTTATCATGACAGTCTCTGCGATATAAAAATCTGGCAACCTCAATCTTGACGCTTTGGCTCAGCTATGGCAAATTGCTTAAAGTTTCAACAACACATGGTGGGAAATGAACTTAGCTCGGTTGAGAAGCTTGCTGAAACCGTTGTAGTGCGCGATTTGACTCACGTAGAGCTTTGAGTTTCTTTTGTGCGGGCGGTTCAAATTCCTGGTAACCAATGTGAAATAAAAACGTCAATATCTTCGTTAGGAGTTGATTTCAGTAATTTTCGTTGCGCAAATCGTGTTCCACTGTTCCACGTGAAATTTTGACTAGGAATCGTGTATTAGAATGCTTAAATTCGTACCTTGTCTAGTGGTCCATTTCAGTAATTATCCCGCTGCTCAGTTTGAATTTTTGTAACAGTGCATTTTGGCAATCGGCCGCTTGACCACCCCCCCCTCCTTTCTCTCGACGACCAGTGACGTACATCCGCCCTCGGTGACGCGAGCGCGGTGGCGGCCCGGGGCTGTTGAGCCCGTAAGTCGTTAATCACCGGATCTCCGATGAAACGCCGGTCGGGCCTGGCGACCGCAGCCACTTCCCTCTCATTACGACTGCATCCCCGAATTCGGCCCACCCCGCCGGGGCGCAGGAACCGCGCAACCGGGGCGGCGACCCCTCGCGAGTCGCGCGGTTCTACGACAAACTCGTCGCCCCTCTGACGTAGCTCGAGCTCCACGTGAGCCTTGTTCCAGGTATAAAGCCATGCTGTCTGTGGCTCATGTGGAGATCGGGATACGTCCTCGCGTCGGCGAGTTTGCAGGGATGACGCATTCGACCCTCCCCCGCGCGATGCAAAACGTGCGGTGAGGATTTTTGGGGACCGATAGGCGTTGGATTGTGGTCGGGCCGGGTTAATGTGACGTGGGGGTCGGCCGGAGGGGTTGAATCTGATTAACGATGGTATGAGTAGCTCGAAGCACGGTAGGGGTAGGTGAACGAGGAGCACATGGTGCGGTTACGGGTAGGGTAAATGGTTCAGTTCGGTTGAACCATTTTGGCGATGATAATGGCGCGATTAGGTTCCATAGAATGAATTCAGGTCCGAGACCGAGTTTTTCGATTGGTTGATTAATCGATTAATCGAATTTTAGGGTGATCGAAAATTCAATGATCGATTAATAATAAAATCAAACCTAAATTATTCGTTTAGTATACCAACTGATTGCGGTGCACTAGGAAAAAAAAAAAGCACATTAGATCTAGAGTCCAGACTCTTAAAAACATCGACAAGAAAAAGTATTCATGATTCAATCAGAATCTAGCTTAAATGAAAAACCAAGCCTTTTAATTTAAGCGTATTTAGTTTTGATTCAAGCAAAAATCGTCAATGTTTCCAAGAGTCTGGACTCTAGATCCAATGTGTTTTTTTTCCAGTGTGGACGCACGGGTTGTAAGATAGTGTGTTCGAATTTTTTAGCCAACGTGCTTTAATTATTAGGTTAAGAATTAGATTATTAAACCGATAATTGTGCTTATTTTGAAATGATAGCTTCTCACGAAAACGAGCTGAACCCTGGAATGCCCGTCAAGTGTAATTCAGTATTTGAGCTGAATTTCAGAGTGAAATATGATGTAAGCTGAACATTTTCTATCCAAAATTTAGCAAATTTTGCCACAATTGTCTCCGTATTTTCTCCTGAAATCCTGCCTTTCTCTAAAATTTTAGCACCTCCGTGCTTCAAGCTAGAGCTTATGTGGTTTTGTGCTGATTTTCAGAAATTTGATCGAGGATATGTGACAGTTTCTGTTCGATCCCGATCGAACAAACTTAGAGCAATTTCAAGAAATTTCATCACACTCATTTTTTATCCCCCCCCCCCTCCCTTCACTCTTGAGGGTTCTCTCAATTTTGCACCGATCAATCACATTGCGCGCCCGCGGTAACTAATAAATTATTCCAAATTTGCACACCTTGACCCGCCTCCCAGATTTGCGCGTCCTTAAAGGTGTCCTTTACCTTCTATTAAATTGAAAGTGCTGTTCCTAACCATTGTATAACTCGTCTTGAACAACCCTTTTATGTTTCCAACCTTTCTTTCATAATTATCCTCAAATTTATCTCCATTACTTCCATATTTCTTCGCAACCATGAGTCCCATCCACATACAAATTTTCCAAATTTTCACTTTCTTTAGCTTCAGTTCAATAACGTACCCCCAAAACCTATACATATTCTGGAAGTACTGATTAAGCCCGACCTGCTCAAACCTTTAGCGACCAATAAAGTTCAAATCTCAACATCCACCTCCAGCTTTCAAAGTCCACGGCAAACACAGATCCGCTCCCCCTGGAGCCCCCCACCTAGCGGCCGTCCCCGCTCGGTTCCTTTTGGCTCTTGCGCGGCGCTCAAGACGTCAGCCGCTTGCCCCTCAGAGTCACTTGCATCCAGCACACTGAAGAAGACGGACCCGGACCTCACTCAAGGTACACTCTACTACAGGTATGGACAAACGGGGTGCCGAAGTGGCAGCGCTGAGAAAATGGGCGATCGAGTGACGTATGAAGTCGTACCGTCCATTTGCCGCGCAGGTTTTCGCAGTCGTACTCTCGATGCTGTCAAATCTACGCGTTTTGACGACTTTCTAAAATTCCATTTGTCCATACCTGTAGTAGAGTGTACCTTGGACCTCACTATGGAAGCAGCTCTCTCCCGGATCAAGAATCTTTACCCGACGCCCCTGCTAAGGTGGAGTTTGGAGTACTTGGACTAGGATTAGGACTCTGGCTCTCCAACGTTGGAAAGGACACCTTCCCGCCACATGCAAGTCCCGTCAACCGACGGTCCACACGAAGCAAAGTGATCACTTGGCGCCTGTCCGCTGTACGAAGTAAACCGACGTCACCTCATCCCGGTTCTCTGAAGTCCAGCTTGGCTCACTCCAGTAATCTCTGCGTAAGTGATGAAAGGTATGCTACAAGCGCTGCCTCATCACTCTAAGTATTAATATTCTTTCTCATTTCAGGTTCAATTCACTCTTCACCACAGGTGTATCGCCTGTCTTGCTTTTGGGCTATCCCAAAAAAGTATACTCCTCTAATTGCATGTCACGTTCACTACCTATAGTGAAGGTTTCATGCAATTAGCAGACTTGCTTTAATAATCACCTTCTGTGCCTATTAGAACGTATTATTCAATTATCTCATTTAATATTCCAAAATTTCTCATTGTCCCCATCTCAACCTAACCCCTAAATTGTGGAATTGAATCACTCTCGTTTTCAATCTCCATCAATTTAGTGGCATGCTTTAATGCAAATCTTCTATTTGCATTAGAACGTCCTTTTTCTTTCCCCCTTTCGGCCGATCATTTAGTTTTAGTTACTTTTTCACCTCTCAGCTCTTTTCTCTCTTTTCTGGTTTGCTTCTTTTTCCTCAAAACAAGCTGGTCCCTCGGTTTTAATTTATCCCCCCCTCTTTTCTGTTTCGCTCCTTTCTCATATCCAATTTTTTCTCCTCCTCTTCATTTTTTCTAAGTTTTCCCCCTTTACATCGCTCAGTTTCAATAATTGATCGGTATAAAGAAACCGATAAACCTTTAAAAATAATCTTCCGAAATGACACCTTATTAATTTTGACAACTTCACACTAACCTTCTGTTTTAGAGGGATCACAATAATACGAACAATGAATAAACGACCAAACATTTTCCAGCTCAAACTAGGATCTTCATAATTATTACCTGAAACAGATGAAAAAAAGTTTGCATCAACACGACTGTTACGTACGATAAATTCTACCATGCAATTGAATTAGTCTCAATAGAGTGCACTTTATTGATAAGAAATGTCGAAAAATGCGTAGATATCATCATTCAATCGTTCCATGCTCTTTACTGACATATCGACGGTGTAAGTCGACAATCACATAACTCGTTTGCGGTGTCTGAAAATCTCCGCCTCTATGTTATTTTTTTAAAGGAGAACAAATTGGTATCATTCCTTGAAGTTTACGCCGAATTTTCTTCGCACAGAGAAGAAAAATCACGGCGCAGTTTTAAAGAATTGCCGTTGAGTAGTTTTCCGCTTAAAAAATAAAGTATGACACGAAGTCTGCGACGTCGCATACCGAGTTATGTGATTGCCGACTTACACCATCGATATATCTCTAGTTATTGATGTGAAGTTATGTAGTTATTTTGTTGTAATTTTTTTATTAATCTCTACGCAAGGACTGACCTCATCTAAGTTCATTGTCACTTCTTTTAATTGTTTTAGCAGATGACGTCTGAGTTTCCTGACTCAAATGTACATTATAAACACTCAGATTGTCCAGAGACCCATTGACAATATTTCGACGCATTTTGAATGAAATTTCAAAATGAGGAAACTTCTTAGCAGTGTAGCAGTGTTGTGGCATGTTTTGCATTTTATCGAATGGTCTGCCATTTTAAGCTTTTAGAAAAGGATCGATAAACAGGGTATTCCTTCATAATCGATACTTTACATAGCTTCAAATAAGGGAACATCGAAAATCGATCATTCAGACTTCCCCAACGATTCTTAACCTGCCTAGTAGGACGTGATCTATCCAAACCCGGTGCCTTTCGGTGTATTACAACCCGTCAAAACCCACGAAGTGTCATTTTGATAGAGGTCTGGTGCGGAATCCGTCATTACATCGCCCGGTGGGAGTGGAGTAGGGCGGGAAAATGAGGGGATTGTCAACAGAGGGGCGCGTCCGCAGATGACAGTTCCTTCTGTTTAGCATAAACGACTTATCGAAAAACTAAGGAGCCCAAACCTGTTCTTATTCAATTCGATTTTACTTTGAAAAAAAAAAATATAGTAGATTTTACCATATTCAGACACAGTAATACGAGTATGGTAATAAACACCATACTCAATGGTGGTATTTATCATATTATGATAAGTATCACTGGAGTTAAGGTGAAAACTACCGTAATTCTGGTTATTCCCACTAAATAGTATCCCTTTTAAAAAATCAAGTGGACTTAGAGTAGATGTTATCATACTTTTTTTCTCAGTGTCCGATCGTTTCTGTTAGAGAGGATACCTTCTTCAAAGAGGATACCCACAAAATTTCAAGTTTCAGTGAGGAAATTTCAAGGAACGAAAACGATCGTACACTAAAAAAGTATGATAACATCCATTATAAGTCTACACGGAGAAAAAAACTTCGTGCATGGGACCCGAAGTTGAGGTCATATGGATCTCTGAAGTTTCTGATCACGCATCCGAAAACTTGAGGTCGAGCTGCCGAAGTTCGGGTCAGACATCGAGGCACTTCGGTATGTACCGGAGTACTTCAGATGTGTGACCCTAACTTCGGCAGCTCGACTTCAAATTTTTAGATACGTCCTCCGAAAACTTCAGAGATCCATATGACCTCAACTTCGGGTCCGACACACGAAGTTTTTTTCTCCGTGTACTTGATTTTTTACACAATCTTACTATTTAGTGAAAATAACCAGAATTACGGTTGTTTACGACGCGTGCGTCCATCGCAATCAGTTTGTGCAATCAGAAATGGATTCGCACTGTCTTTACTCTCGGTATAGAGGGACTGGAGACGTGCGGAAAGCGAGCAACGTGGATGCGCTCATACGCGGTTCCTGCTCAGCGCGACGGTATTGGATTTTATCGGCGGAAACCCCGATCGAGTGGGGCTCGTAATCGCGGTCTGAGTATGCAATTTGCGTCAAAGAAAGTGATCGGCTCGGGCCCGATAAAATCCTCGTTACCCGAATCGATACCCGCGCCACCGCCGCGCCCGGCACCGCCACGCAACGGCCACTCGCGCCCCCGGACACTCCGCAACCCGCAACCACCGCCCGGCCCGGCATCACGCCTTTTTCACCGCCGAATCTCCGCTCCAGTCAGTCATCCGTCACTGAATTCTAGTGTGAGGGCGTAGCTCAGTTTTTAGACGAGCTCTACGATACATAAGAAGTCTTACTCATCAAGGCTTCTGCAGAAATCAGGGGATGCCTTTTCTGGCCGCTTGGCGGCCCAACCTCCTGGGAGCGCTTCGCGCTTCCTAAGAGCCGCCCTGTTAGTTACGATAAAGCCGGCTCATTTGGAGACTATTTGGACATATTTAAGCTAAATGAAACTATGTGCAAGTGGAAAGATGGGGTGTGCTCGTTAGTACTTCCGAGATATGAACTAGGGACCTATTTACTTAGAGTCAGACACGCTGACCACCAGGCCGACCTGGTTGGCCCTTAACGACCGTTCAGAGGATCGTTAAAATCAATCTGGAAATTGTAAGTGTACTAAGTAGCAATTAGAGCATCCAATAACGTCAATAATTGAAACGGAAAATCGCCGTTATGACTCCGTCCACTCACTAGACCAATTGAACTACATTTTGAAATTGGGAACTGCTACTTCTGGCTCATCTATAAAAGCACTTATATGCATTGGGAAACTAATGGCTTGTACGTTGTTTCCAGAAATACTAGTTCTCGATTGCAAAAAGTAGTCCAATTTTCATATTCATTCGGCTCAAGGTCGGTAATAATTTTTAAATGTCTGTGTTTTTAATATTCTTTACGGCCTCAATCTTGGATTATTGTCAAACCTGGATCCTAGAGAACCTAAATAAGTACTAACTTCTTACCCAATACTAAAGTCAGAGAGAAAGAGACCCCCATTCCTACCCTGGCAATGGTAGAAACTTTTAATTTCGGTGCTTCAACATTCAAATGTTGACTTACCTACTGGGTGGATGTTAAATAACGTTCTGGGTATTTTGTTATGCAAACATACTGAAGTTTGGCAAACTTGTTGGGCTCATTACATCATTCGAAACTCATCATCCATCTAATAGATAGGTCGACAGCTGAAAAAAGGATGGTGACGGTTGCTCCCTAGTTGTCCATAAGGAAGTGTCTAATCCCCGAAATTAAAAGAGGCCAGAGGAGGGTCTCTTTATTTTACACACTGAAAACAAAATTACGGGCTAAACAGACATACCGTCCGTTCCGGGTTCAGAGGCCAAAAGTTGGACACTGGAAAAAAAAAAAAAAACACATTGAATCCAGAGTCCAGACTCTTGAAAACATTGACAAGAAAAAATACCCTTGATTCAATCGGATTTTAGCTCGAATCAAAACGAAATCCGCTTAAATTAAGAGGCTTGGTTCTTGATTTAAGATAGATTCTGATTGAATCAAGAATAATTTTTCTTGTCGATGTTTTTTTACAGTCTGGACTCAAGATCCAATGTGTTTTTTTCCAGTGGAGCCGTAGATTCGACTGTTGCGGGCGCTACGCCCGGAAGTTTTGGCATCCTAACCAGGAATGCGGACATGATATGTCTATATAGCCCGTAAGTACGGCTTTGACTGGAATGCTAAACATATAAGATGGGGTTCTAGAACCACCCTAACAAGAGGAAGAGCGTTGAATTCTGCAGTAAGAAGCATTAATGGAGACTATGTCTCTTTTGGGAGTCCCACACATTGGCCGACTGACCCAACAAAAAAACCAGATGTAATAGATTTTTTTGTAGTTAAAAATATTGCTATGAACTCAATAGATTGTGGTGAAACCGATATAACTAAGGAATTAGACTCTGATCACTCTCCCATTAATATGGACATGTATAATTCAGCTATTTTAAAAGAGGTAACCACTTCAATAACAAATAAAAAAACGGATTGGAAAGCATTTAGAGAAGAACTAAATTCAATTGTTACGTTAAAAAATCCTATAGATACACAACAGC